CGCGGTGCGGCCCGCGGTACTCGACCTGGGGCCGCGGCGGCGCGCCCGCTTCTACGACTGTGTTTTCCCGGCCTCCTCCGGGGCAGGGTTGGGGTCCCGGAGCCTCTCCGACTCGAGGCTGTTAGGGACCTCCTGGGAAAGGCCCCAGGTTTGGGCAGAGGACAGCCGATGGCTTTGGGAGCTGTGTGGGGCACTCGCTGGTGTTGCGAGTGTAGAAACTGGGGACATTTTCTCGGCCTGGGACCAAGTCCAGAAAATGACTAGTCTTGCCCTGGCTGGTGGGCTCAGTGGTTAGAGCGCGTGGGCCCACGGACGGAGGGGTCACGTGTTCGATTCCGGTCGAGGGCACGTACCTGGGTGCAGGGGAGGCAGTCAATGGACGTGTCTCACATCCACGTCTGTCTGTCTGTCTCCTCTAGTCCCTCCCATCCCCCCGTCTACTCAAAAAATCACTGGGAAGGATATTCTGGGGTGAGGATTAAAAACCAGAAAGTGACTAGTCTGAAACCTCACCTTACAATTCAGCTGCTTCCTCCATTTCATTATCCTTTATCAGCACAGTTATTTCCTAGCCGTCCATGTTGCAAAAAGAACTTGAGGGACACAAGAATAAAACGTGATCCTGAAGAGTCAGGATAAGTAATTCTCAAAGTTACAGGTTAAGCACGGTTAATCTTCATAAGAAATAACATTCCGATTATTCCTTTCCTGCAAGTAATAGTCACCATGTGAGGGGCTTTTTCCATTTGCCAGGCTGTCTAGATGACGGGTGTCCACTAGAAATAAGATGCGAGCTGTATATGTAATTTTAAATTTATAGTAGCCACTTTGTAAAAGGATAAAGAAACTGCTGGCATTTGTTTTAATAATTATTTTCTTGAGTGCAAGCTCTTAAAAATATTAATAAATAACTAATGAGACATTTTACTTTTTTTTGTACTAAGTTTAAAAAGCAATGTGTTTATTACCCTTAGTGTAAGTTTCTATTTGGATGCTAACTTCATTGGAAATACCTGATCTGTATTTAGATTTAATTAAATTTACCATCAAAAAACATTCACATGCTCATTATTTCTTTTTTTATTTTATTTTATTACAAAGAGTATTACACATGTCTCCCTTTTTTTCCCCTTGACATTCCCCCGGCTTCCCCCACCCCCCAGTCTTGTGTCACTTAGTTATTCTCATATGCATGCATATAAGTTTTTTGGTTGATCTCCTACTCCCCCCAACCCTCCCCAGGGTTCCCACTGTAGTTTGACATTCTGTTCAATGCTGCTCTGCCTCTGTATCCATTTTTGTTCATCAGTCTATAATGTTTCTTATTATCCATAAATGAGTGAGTTCATGTGGTATTTTTCTCAGCTTCCCAGGGGCCATCTCAGTCTCACAGGGATCGTCCCAGCATCACGGGGGCCATTTCAACTTCACTGGGGCCGTTTCAACCCCACCAGGGCCATCTTGACCTCACCCGGGCCATCTCAACCTCACTGGGGCCGTCTCAGCCTCACATGGGCCGTCTCACATGCTCGTTATTTCAAACATACTTAAAATATTTCCAAAACGGAATCAACTACAGTGCCAATTTTTTAATGTAAAATTTAATTAAAACTAAGTGTAGTTTAGAATTCAGTTCCTCTGGCCGCATTTCAAGTGCTCAGTAGCCACACGTGGCTATGTCTACCCTCAGGGCAGGTTCCGGTGGTGAACACTAACAGGAATTTCACATCAAACTTGCAGCTTAGTTTGAGTTCTAACCATCTATTCAGAAGGAGGCCTGAGCTCTTCCTCCCCCAGCGTGTCAACTACAAAGAAGTGTTTGAAAGGGCAGCTTGAGAGTTCCATCATTTACAAACAACATGAAAATTAGACAGAGATCCTGAAGAGATTGAAGAGGAAGAGCAGGTGGCTGCTGAAAAGGCTGTGACCGAGGAGGACCTTCAGGGTGAATGGGCCGCTCCCGCTCCTGCGTTGGCTGCTGCCCAGCCTGAGGGCACAGGCAGGTCTGAGGGGGCAGGTGCCCTCGGTGCCCGTTCAGCAGTTTCCTACCGGAGACTGGAGCGCTCAGCCTGCCAGGAAGACTGGTCTGCAGCCCCCACTGCTCAGGCCACCGAACGGGTAGGAACAACCAGAGTGGGCCGGAGCTGTTCTTCCACAAACTCAGAACGGAAAGACGGTGGATGGAAAATAAAGTTTATTTAAAAAATCCTGGAAAATTATAAAAAACAAAGTAATTGTGTCTTTTTTAATAAAAAGTAAAATGCAATCATTTCAAGCATCAAGACATGGCAATAGTTTTGTCCGCTTTGACACAGAAAGACATCGTTAAATGTACTCACGTTATTCCTTATTTGATCCCCAAACCAAACCTGAAATAATTTGTGGAAAAATCATGTTTTCTTATAATGTACTTTTAAAGTGAATTGAATATCAGGGATTATTTGTTGAATAAAAAAATACTGAAAATTATATGTTATAAGAAATATTAATTATGAAAGTACTTGTATGCATGTATAGGAGCATACCCCGTGGACACAGACAGTAAGAGGGTGAGGGCATGTGCTGGGGGGTGGGAACAGCCGGGGAGAGGTCAACGGGGGAAAAGGGAGACATGTAATACTCAATAAAGAATTTAAATTAAAAAAAATATATTTAAATGAACTGTTTAATATGATCTTAAAAAACAATTGAGTTATATTAGTCAGGGTCCTATTAGAGAAACAACCAGTAGGATATATTTGTACAGAGAAAGATTTCGAGGAATTGCTTATATAATAGTAGGGTTCGGCTAAGCAAATCTGAAATATATAGGGCAGGTCAGCAGCAGGCTGAGAACTTGGGCAGGGGCTGACACTGCTAAAAACAGAAGTTTAAGCAAAAATTTCAAGGACACATGTAAAACACGGAGAGACACATACAAGTCTAATATTATAAAATATCTATACAGTCCCTATGAGGTTGGTTTAATAGATCTGATCAATATTTCCCAAGTGAAATGTGCCAGAAGTTTGAGATCTAGACTGTGCTCAAAAATTTATTTCAAACGGTCATGGTATCTACTTAAGGAACGAGTTCTATAAAACCTAAGGAGCATATCAGAAGGAAGTTTCTTAAAATACAAAACTAAGTCCCATCTATGTCATTCTTGAAAATTTCTACATCCTACATTCTAGGAAATGGCTCTTGTAAATGGGATGAAAAGATGTTTGGTCAGTGAGAATAGTTATGGGTGTATTTAACCACCTGTATTACACCAACCAGATGCTGGTTATGGGTATAATTATCTAATTCCTTTCCTTGAGCTGCAGTAACAAATTACCACAAACTGCCTGGCTTAGAGCAACAGAAGTCCACTTCTTACAGTTCCGGAGGCCAGAAGTTGGAAATCGAGGTGTCAGCTGAGTGGCACTCCCTCCAGAGGCTCCAGGGGAGAGAATCTGTTCCTGGCCTCTTCTAGCTGGTGGATGCAGGTGTTCTTGGCTTGTGGCTGCATCACTCCAGTCTCTGCTGTCATGGTCACATTGCTTCTTCCACGTCTGTGTCTTCTGTGTGTCTCTCAAACCTGCCCCTGCCTTTCTTTTATAAGAACAATTGTGATGGCTTCTAAGGCTCATTCAGATAATCCAGAACAGCCTCCCCATCTCAAAATCACTAACTTAAAGGCTTCCCCCCTTCCCCCCAATAAGATAACATTCCGAGGTTCCAGGAAGTAGGGCATGGATCTATGTTTTTACAGGCCACCACTGACCTCACTACAGGTGATATGATGCAAAATAAAATTAAATATAGCTACTCTTAGGATAATATCTTAAGATGATTAAGAGTCATGAGGAAGCCAATTTGAATATTAGCATTGTTTTCTGTCTAGTTAAGTTGAAAGTCTTAAGCAGTCTTTCTCTAGGTCCTTGCTGGGTAGCTCAGTTGGTTAGAGT